TATATATATATATATCTTATAGATTATGAATATATTTATACAATATAAACATATATAACAAACTATCTATTAAAGTAGAATAACATTGAATTCTGACTTGCATAATATTTGATTTAATTATCATATAAAGATTTCTGTAATACGTAATAATGTTATTAAAAAAGTGGAAAAAATAGAATCAATGTTGAAATCTCGACAGCACTTCCATCTAGTAGAAAACCATGTAATTGATATCGATGTAATTAACAATATCGATAATTTTCGATTCTAACATCGCAAAAGTGAATGGTCTGGCGTTGGTACTCTGTGGAAACCCGTTTCTGCGCGTAGGTGGTGCAAAAATATTAGAACCTACGCGAGTTTCACGCATTTGGCGTGTTTCAACGATCGAATGTCCCTTGGCTTTTACGTTCAGTGTAAGAAAACGTAAGACACTACGCTTACCACTACCAGGATTATTCCAATAATTCGATACTCGTAAGTCTCGTAAGTCTTCTAGAATCGCAAATAAATTTAAGTAACCTGTCTATTGAATAAAATGACAATAAAAATGACTATGAATTATTGCGTTAGAAGCAATTATTGCTTTAACTATCTTGTTGTAATTAATTTAATCTTTTCGCGGTATTTTAATGTTAACTATTAAATATTAAATGTTAAATATTATTATTCTTTTAATGATTATATGACGTAGGATTGAAGATTTATTGTTCGAATGTCTATGAATGCCTATAGTTAATAATATTTTTAATCATTACTACGAATATAATATAGGTTAAATAATATTGAAACGCATCACAACGTGTTTTGATAAACTTCATTCATTTCGTTCAATTATTTGAATTTAAAATTTGTAAACGTTACTTTTTTACCTTGAAAATCGATTTACGTATGAAACATTCGAAAATAATCCGCCATAAAAAATGAAAAGATGAAAATTCTAAAGATGATACAGGAAGCATTATCGATGCGACGCGCATCAATATCCTTTGGAATATTTTTCAAGATGCTTTGAGCACTCGACTACAGCAATATTTTTGTAAATAACAGTTCGATCTTTGGAAACTTGGAAATTTGGTAGTTAAAGCCGCGAGCTATACGGCCTCTTACTTTTATTACAGTTTCAGTGTTTACGTGTTATACGTCGTCATTGTGTGTTTCACCCTCGGTTCGAGTTTCCCGTTCTTCGTTAGCGCGAATCTCGATGTTATATCCCCAAAAACGTATAATCACGAACGAATGGAAGTGATTATCGATAGCGTTAAGAAACAGGGTGAATGGAAAAAATTGGAAATAACTTTAACGTACGAGCGTGAAAAGGGGTTGTTTTCTCGTATTTTAAAAATTTCTCTCGATCGTATATACGCGGTGAAAGTGATAGTGTGACGGTGGTAGTGGTATAACTCGCTAATGAAACAAAATTTGAAGTTGAAACAAAAATTTTGAAATAAAAATTAACTTTATCGATATTATTAAGACATCGGTGCTTAACAATCTG